CTTTGTCTCTTAAAAGTGGTTATGTTACTCTGTGCATTCTTCTTTACTTACAGGTTTTCACATAGTCCAGTTTAGGTTCAGATACACTCTTTTAATACAGCTGACATTTTTCAGCACAGTTATCTTTGACTTTGTTGTATTTGTATCAAGATCAAGCGAGAGCAGCTAGTAATTCAGCCGTGTGAAACAAGCCCTTCAAGGCCACCCTCCCCTTCTTTGGATTGACAGATCCTCAGCAAGATTAATTGCTTTGGCACCTTCATCACCTAATGCCAGGGTCTTTAAGCTGCTAATTGATCAGTACAGGAAGCAGGCAGCGTGTTGCACAGCACTGGTTTCTTCTTCTGCTTCAGATTCTGGCTGTAAATGTGACTCAGGATCAGGGACAGCTGGCTAGCGCATGTCCTCGGATCTTTGAGGCTGATAGCAACAGGAGTTTCTCCAGCTGTCTCCTGGGCAGAAGTCAAAGTCAAGCGGGGGGTTTATCAGACATATGGGGGTAGTTTGATCCACAGTACTCACTTGGGAGGGGAGAAGTGCAAAATCACTGAGTGTAGTGGAGGTTTGTGATGCAGGAAGGCAGCACAGGGGCTCTGAACCTACTGCATCTAAATCTAACTTCCATCAGATTAGATTAGTTTCTTTCAGCAGCAGGATATCAGTTACAGGTGCTTTACAGCAGACACCAGCACAAACTAAACTGTAGCAGATAAGCGTGGAGTGTGGTCGGGTTAAATGGGACTGATTTCATTCATCTCTGAGTTTTGTTTTGGTTGCAAGTCTCAGTCAGTAACCAGTGATTAGCTTTTATAGAGGTATGCTCCAGAGGCCGGGGACACTCTCGCTGCTGGATTGTTTACTGCATCACCTCGCTCACTTTCCTCTTCCGGTTGCCTAGGTGACCACACACACAGTCTGATAGCAGACGGAGACAAACGAGACCTTTCTGCCAGAACGAGCCGCCCCCTCTCCAAGCAGATGCGCTGCTCGTTTGAGGGCTGCTGCAAGACGTTCACCTGGCCCGCTCATTTCAAATATCACCTCAAAACACACAGGTAACGCATCGCACCGACAGCACGGGGGGATTGTGCCTTGTCCAGCAGTGGTTCAAGCATAGGGGATGTTGCTCAAGTGTGCAAATTCTGATAATGTGGACGCATTTTTCAAATTAGAAAATAATACAGGGTTGTTGATGTACACATTTCATTACACACAGGAACGCGTGCACCAACTGTGAAATGTGTTAATAGAAAATTACATGCCTGTAATGTCTGTAAAGTATAGATACGAGTCAGACAAAAAGATTCAAGCAGCTAATGTAGACACCACAAAGTCATACTCTGTAAGCTAGAGCCCAATATGCAACAAAAGTGCAGAAAAGAACAAATTTGTGTGTATCATGGTATCCTGGTTATTTGTTGAGCTATGTAATGCCAGAAATTAGTGTCATTTTTAAGTTGTAATGGTGAGCAATCAAGTCCTCCTGAATGTCTTTGGTTCCTGCAACTTTAATCTTCATGTTCTAGTATAAGATTTGGTGTAAGATGTGTAACAGGCTGCTCTCCAGACACGTTCTGCCCTCCTGAAGTACCCTCAAGGGCAGGGTGAGCTCGATCTTCAAGCTATTCTGTGTGATGTTTTTCAAGTACAAAAGGCACTAGGTTTGTTCAGCAGTTGTAAAATGTAAGCTGGAGGTGTTGGCTTTAAACTGCACAGGTGTTTTACAGCCACAATGAAAGGAGTAATGGCAGCTCAGGAAAAGGTTCCTGCTTTATTTGTTGGGGAGGCAGAAAGACTGTGCAGGGAGCGGAAAGCACTGCTGTGCAACAAGAGTTTCTCCAGCTGTATGGCAGGAGCTCTGTTAATACCAGCGTAGCAGATCTGTTTGAGGCTACCCCGTCTGACCTTGTGGCGGGCTTTAACCAACGAAGCATGTGCACGAGAGACGTCGAGGTTTGTTTGTCATCTTATCTCGGCTCGCAGGAATGACCGGATGTTCAGGTGCGGCGCAGAAGGCTGCGGGAAGAGTTTCTACGTGCTGCAGAGGCTGCAGGTTCACATGAGGACTCACAACGGCGAGAAGCCCTTCATTTGCAAGGAGACGAACTGTGGCAAGAGGTTCACCACTGCTGGAAACTTGAAGAACCACAGACGCACACACACAGGTGGGGAAAGCAGGACGGACCCCTGCATTTAAAAGCCCAAATGTCCTGGAAGCAATAACTAACTAAGGCCATTTGACTCTGCTCATTTAATGCTTCCTTGGCAGAGTTAATGCTGGAGATTTGAAGAGTCAGCAGCACTGGCCCCTCCATTTTACTGCTGCAATCAGTAACACTACTCTGTCATATTTTATTTAGGGTGGCATTAAGGTTTCTGATGGCGTGCTCCACAGTCAGTTAGGTGACCTGTGCTTAGTTTCCGCCTGTATATCTGGAAGAATGAGCCGTAGCTGACTTATCTGGGTTATTTTGGTCATCGCGGCTTTCAGAAACGACAACAACAAAGTTGCAGTTTATTGTAATTTCCAGTGCGTCGGGGCCATTCAACGCATCCCTTTGAACGCATCCGCATCTGATACTTTCTGCAAAAATAAGAGTTTAATTGGGGCTTTGTAATGCGGAGGTAAACAATATGTATATTTGTGGTGGGTGGCTGCTTTCAGGAGAGAAGCCTTTTCTGTGTGAAGCAGATGGCTGTGGGCGATCCTTTGCAGAGTATTCCAGTCTACGAAAACACATGCTCGTGCATTCTGGTGAGTGGGACAAGTTCACAGCTGCGCAGCAGTGCGCTCCTTTGTAATTAGTAAGCTACAGATAAAGTGTAAAGTAGTGCGCCTTGTAGACGGCGTCCTGCAGCAGTTCAGAAGAAGAATAAAGTTTTGCTTGGTGTCTGTGTGCGTACTTCCCAGGTGAGAAGCCTCATGTGTGTGGGATCTGTGGGAAGACTTTTTCTCAGTCGGGCAGCAGAAACGTCCACATGAGGAAGAGACACGGAGAGGAGGGACTCAGTAGTGAAAGCAGAGAAACAGGTCTTTCTCCCTTTGTCTGTCTTACTCACTCACACACGCACACACAAACACCCACCCAGTGTGGTGGGTGGATATGCTAATCCTTGGATTATGTAGCTTCAAGCTGCCCATACATTTTAAAGTCTGCATAGAGATGGTGTTGCTTTAATTTACATTTAGGAACATTTCTTGAATTGTTAATGACTTCTAGCACTTAAAAATGTATCATTCACATTTTTATTCTTCAGGCCCAGTAGCTGAATTGTTTTAGAATGCACATAGCTTCAAAAAAGAAAAAGCAGAGAGCAAAACGCTGCTGCAGGGGGGAAAAAAGAGGCCTGTTGGGCTTTTTGTGATGGGGTCAGATCCTCTAAGAAGTCTTTAATCACCAAGTTAAAATAACATCATCTTGCTTTATTGAAATGCATTCACCTGCTGAGATAATTGAGTGAATATATACGGTTAATCTTCCAATACAGCTGAGGCAAATTTACACAGTCACTCCTGTCTCTATTCTCGGTATCATTTTCAGTACCTTTCAGATTAAAAGGATCGTTCATTGAGCTTTTCACATTCCAGCATCTGGAACAATTGAACAAAATAAGCTTAAATTCATTTTTAGCATGAAACAATGACAGCAGACAGCACATTTGCCTCCTTGTCACATCTCTGTAGCAGCAGGGAAGCACAGCAGCTGAATCACCGCAGAGGAAACGCTGCCAAAGCTCTAATTATAAACAGCAGATTTATTCGGGTCAGCCTCCCCAAAGAGGCCAGTCTTTTGTAAAAGCAGTGCAAAGGAAGATGCAGTTGCACAACAGCCTGGTAGTTTCTGTTATTTATACATGACAAGAGCTACTGGATTAATTATTAAATTGATTGTGAATAACTAGAATAAGCAAAAAAAAAATCAACATTTATACAGAACGCATTCTAGAAATCTAGATTAAGTTTTTATCAATTATTTTTTAACTTCAGAGCATCATTTTCTAACCAGCACTGGCCTGTGGAGATCACACCGAGGCTGCAGGTTGAGTCCTGGTTTCTATATAGATGACGGATTACTCTAAATGTGCTCTCTCTTGTGTTGAGGTTTGGGGAAAAACAAAAAGTTTGATGTCTGTGTGCAACTGACAGGAGAGGCTCTGACACAAAGCAGCCTGCTGGAGGCAGACGGTGAGAATGGAGACAATATGGTCACCATGACAACAACTGTGGAACCCATGAATCTCCACCATGCCATGCTGAGATCACCAGGTAGGCGTTTGAACAAGTATGACAGGAAAAAAAGGCAGTTCATAAAGAGTGGATTTAAAAAACACCTAACACATCTGACAATGCTGTAGCCCTGCAGTAAACTCTCATTTGGTGAAGCTCATAATGTTCTGTTAATGTCAGGGATGCTGAGTCAACTTGTGGTGTCACTAATGTCCCATTAAGTATTTTTCAGGGAATGAGTCTTTTGATAACGGCGGCTAGACTCAGGCTGTGTAGACTTGTGTTTGCTCGAGTTTTCATGTCTCTGAAATTTCACATTTAGGCTGTTTCCAGCAGTTCAGCTGGCACTCTTTGCATTGTACCTGTTAAATAAATAAGATTAAAAACAAATTTGTAAAAAACATTGATAACCTCATGCTGGTAATAATAAATTCACTAGTGTAGCACCGCTGCTTGCATATTAGTTTTGTTTTGAGTGTTCGCCCACCTCTCAAGGTTTTGTTTTTTTTAACCAATCAGCCATAAAATGCTGATGCGGTATTGTCATCACCCCGCAGCACAGGTGGGCGATGTGGACACGATTACTCAAGAACAAGGCGACATGGGATTCTAAAATTCATACCATGGGTGCATCTACCACAACTCTTGGACGAGTATGAAGTTTAATGACCTTGACCTCAAGATCAAGGTCAGAGGTTAAGCTTTCAGAAAATCATCTGAGCGCGATAACTCAAGCAGTTATTGCACTGGTGGCTGCCAGTATTTTTTTTTAACTTGGTAAACAAGAAAAGACTGCGATTCAAGCGCCTGTGTAAATGGTTATGGGACTGTGTTGATGACATAGTTCACATAAGCAATGACCAAAGTGTCGGTGCCAACCGTAGCTTTCAACTGTTTATCCAAAATATAAGAGCTTGTTCCATCCTTCTGTGGAAGGAGCTTGAATTTATGAGACAGACTCACTGCTTTAAAGATCAAACTTAACACTATTTTTGATAAACCTTATAGTTACGTCTGGATCAGGTGACCTTTGCAATAGGTCGAGGCTCCTGGGGGCTTCACATAATGCACTGTTTCTTTTTCACTCTATGTTTATACACATCCTACATTTAATCATTAGTTCTTATTCATCTCTGGATCTCTTTATTTGTCCGGTCTCTCTCCCCTGATCCCCAGCCAGTCACAACAGATGACTCCCCCCTCCCTGAGTCTGGTTCTACTTGTGGGGTTGTTTTTTTTTACTCTCTTTACTAAAAGGGAGTTTTTCATTCTCGCGGTCTGATTTTTGGGTTTTTCTATTACTGAAGGCTCTTTATCTTACTATATAACGTGCCTTGAGGTGACTGTTGTTGTGATTTGGTGCGATATAAATAAAATTAAAATTATTTGAACACTGAAGAGCCAGGTGATGTAGTTCAGACGTGTGGCTGGGAAGCCTGGAAACATCCCAGCTGCATACAACTTGTATGTATTGCAGAAATTCCAGAACGGCTTCATCAGCACAAAGGCTGAAAGTGCTTGGTTTGATTTTACAATGTCTGCACCTTCATGTTATTTTAAATACATACAGGGTGAATAACATCCTCTTTGAACTTTCCTTTGTGTTTGTGTAGGCTCTGCAGACTCTGTGGTAGTTCTCTCTCAACCGCATGAACTGGTGACCATGACAACGGAGGGCCATGCATATGGAGAAGATGTAGTTGCTCTGCTGTAGTCCACCTTCACAACAAACATCGCACACTGCGTGTTGCAGCAGCACTGGGCTGACTGCCACAGTGGACTACATATAGATATGTATCTGTAAAAAGATGACTTTCAGACCTGTAGACCCTTGTAGATATTTGTAATTAGCAACCAGTGATGGTTTTATTTTAATAAGCGTGAAATGGCAAAGTTTGTACAAACATTTTTTTTTCCTCGTGTTTTTGAGAACAAAGACTCCCAAAGAAATACTGAGACGGGTTTTGCTAGTTTATGAAACTATAATGACCAGGAATGCTTATGTGCTTCATCATTGTAGACACTGAAATGCAGTGATGGTTGTTAATGAAAAATAAGTACCCCAAAACCTCAACGGCTGATAAGTTAAATTTAAATGTACCAGACACCCATTATAGCCATTATTCTTTTGACTAATAACGAAACACTTAACATTAAAAACCACTCAAGCACAGTTAATCAAATGCTGCATGTAAATGCTGGTATTACATGACTTAACAAGCCAGGCCTCTCTGTTTATCAGCCTTAGTAAAATAGAAAACATCTATCTCGAATAAATTCTATATCCACTAATCCCCAGAGGTGCATTAACAGAGTGTGTTATTGGTAAAATGTTTCATTCAGCCTCTTGTGCTTCACTTGTTCTCCGAGTGGGGCAATGCATTGCTCATATATAGCTCAATATATTAACACTTAAGAAGAATTGCTTTTTAAAAGAAATTAAGAATTACTCATGAGGTTAGTTCTGCCCTTATAAAACCAACACCAGCTGTCTGCTGCTCTTAGATAAGGTAGTGCACATTACTTGAGTGTGGTTAGTGAGCGCCACCTAAAATCAGCTTCTCGTTGTCAGTGTACGCTCCTCACTTCTCAGTGAATCTTCAGGTAGTGGAAGTGATCCAATGTAGCACCCAGTGCCCAGCTAGCCTCCACGTTATTCACTTTCTTGGTTAGCTAAGGATGGAAAAAAAAAACAAAACACCAAATCACTCAAAGGATTTTTGTATTTACTGAAATAAAAAAGGTAATGCAATTTTTTGTGTAAAAGTGCCTCTTTTCCTTTGTTTTATTAAAAGAGAATTGACACAGACAAGTTTCTATTCCCAAGTACTCCCAACTTTTTAACAATTTTTTTTCCAAGGAGTCCACAGATCCCTTCAAATCATCGGTTGCTTGTGTTTCCTCTGCAGTCTAAAGGCCCTCAGAGACTGGGAAGGTTATCCCGCTGACAGATATAAAAGCAACCACTGTTTTTACAACCTGCAGGTTACACTGGCTTCCTCTGTGTGTCAGAGCTGAAGGTCTTTTATCTCATTTCCACTGATGCAATACTAGTGCAGAGACACTTTTCTTTTGGTGTTACATCTGATAGCATTATATAGTGAAAGTTGGGTAAATAAGAAAATGATCAAAGCAGACAGAATCTCATTGGTCAGTTTCTTACAGCAGCCCAATCATTTTTGATGCCATTTCTGGACCCAGTAGTTTTCTTGAAAAGGTCTGGCCTATAGCTGGTGCCCCAAGCAAGATTAAGCCTGCAGTTTTTACCTCTCAGCCGAAAAAGGCAGATTGAATATTGTTATCACTCTGCTGACGGGTACCACTGGCTGCAACCAGTGTTTCTTATATCCGCACTAAATCTGTCTGTGCTTCATTCTTCCTGCATGGCTGTGTGGAGGTGTTGGGTGTTAATATATGCTTTAGAATGTAAGTGCCATGAAACTATCAGAAAATAACATTTTTGGCCCAGTTCCCTACTGTGGAAATGCACAGAGCCCCTCCAAAGGTTCCCAGTCCCTGGGGAGGGTTCCTGAAATGCAACTCACCCTGCAATTTCTGGTAGCACACTTATCTGCTGTTTTCAGTGTACATAGTGAATTTTCAAACATAAAAAGGTAGGATGAGATATTACCATCTCTTCTTTGACTAATGTGTCAGGGCCTCTTTGAAGAAGGCCTGTGAAAATGCTATGAAGTGTGAGGAGCTATTTTAAACCTTTTCATTTGAAACATTGTGTCTTTTGATAGGTTTCCATCTTATGATTCATCTGCAAGTTTGAACTAAACAGCTCGAAACATAAATAGCTGAATTCATAAAGCCGCGCAGCCTTGTGAAAAATTGTTGCGTTGGGTGTACTGCTTCGTTTGCATTCTTATAACCAAGGCCAGAACCCTGTTAATTTTATTACACAATGCTGCCTCACCTGCAAAACTGTGTTCTCTTTAAAGCCAAACCCATCCTTCAGTAGACAAGTGATGTAAGTCATGTCCATACACAGGAAAGGGTGGATGGGAGGGTACTTGGTCATCTTATTGCACACTAAGCAGAGAAAAGGATAAATAAGGGCTGTTAGGTGTTAGGAATAATCAGTCATCTGTATTCTGCTGTGGATGAGGGCAAGATTTCAGATAGAAATGAGCTCCATTGAGATGCACACTGTGTCTCAAGTACAGGGAGCTGCAGATCTGTCATAGTAATGATGCATTTCTTCGCCCATCTCACCCTCCTTGGCTCTCTTCTTGAAGTCTCTGACCTCCAGCATCCCTCCATGGACCTCATCTGCAACGGAGGTGACTGAGGTCATCTTACTCACATTTAAAAATGCTACACCATTCATTACAAGAACAGGTCTACATGTACATTTCCATAATACTAGTAATAGAGCTTGTGGCCTTTCAGCTTGGACTGGCAGAGAATAGCAATTTCTTTAATACCTACACACCTATAGCTCATCAAATCCCCTGAGACAGGTGCAAGTGACTCACATTTCCCTGCCTATGTCTAGTGCTGGAATGGGTAATGACACCCTACTGGGTCTGTATAATTATATAAGGTGTGTACAAGGGGGTGTGTGTGTGTTCACTAACCGATAAGGCCCGCATCCACAGCTCTGTCAAAGTAATAGGAGAATGCATAAAAAACATTGGAGTCTTCAAGCTCGTACGGCTGATGAATAATCCCCTTCACCACCTTAAGTACTTCCTGATAACAAAGCTTGTATCCTGTGTAACCTGGAGGGGAAAGAAAAACAGAGACGGCAGAATAAAGTCAGCATCTTATGTTCATTCAAGTAATCCAAGTATGCCCTCATATTTTTGCTCATATTGCTACTAATATTTAAATTTCGTATCATGCATTTTGCTCGTAACTGACTGTAAACATCTGGTAACAGATAAGCTCTTTTGTAAAACCCAAGAAAAAAAAAATCAATGGACATTTTTTGAGTTCTTCCTTGCAAACCTTAGCTTTGGGTTTCATCTGCTTACAGCTTGTTATAAGTAAATGGGATCATACCATCTGGGTCCCCGCTCACTTGATAGGTTAGACCTCCAAAGCTCCATTCATCCCTGAACTTCTTTGGCAGACAGGAACTTTTAAAAACCTGCCACTCCAACCCTGTGACAGCGCAGACACCACTTGTTTAAACTCGTGACTGGTTCAACAGCTTCACACAAGGTTACCGTGGTCATAGAATGACTCAAAAAAAACTCAGGCAGTCACTAACACAATTTTCTCTGAAGCACTTCAGTGATTCATCTCAGTGTATCTCAGGGCCAGAATCATTTATAACAGAAAACTACATCTCACAAAAATATCTTTCTTTACTTTTCCTTCTCAAGATTTGGAAAATCTAAAAAAGAAACCATTTGAACTGACCCACCTTCTTCTCAGTATCCATCAGTGACGTGCAATGATGACACTGACATGAATAATGGCAAAGAAACACCTTTAGTTCATGTACAGCACAGTACCTTCTGCACCCAGAGCTCCCAGTGTGGCCAATCGTGCCGCCATCAGTCCATTTCCAAGATAGCTGCATGAAGTTAAAGAATTGTTACACACTTAGAAAACCAAGCAGAAACAGACTGTGCATGTGACAAATAAGTCATCCTCAAAAGAAGGCAAACAAGTGGTGTTTGCCTATAATACACATCCTAATGACTAAACAGATACTAGACGTTTTCCTAATTAAACACAGATCCGAGTGAAGTCACAGAGTCAGTGTCAGAACTTGAGGCTAATTTTAAATGTGAAAAAGGAAAATATGGAAATGATCTTGGATGTGAAATCAAGAAGCAATTTCTTATTCATTCACACTGAATTAAAATGGACTGTATTATGTCTCGTGAAGCATACAGTCGTTTCTGAAACAGTTACCTATGAGTGTACAATTCAAATGTTGAGTTTAAGACATCAAACTTAGCAGTGTAGTCAGCAGCAGGAGCACTTTCAGTGGTTTTCTACAGTGGAATACAGAGAGCACAGAGGGTTACTATCACCAAAGGTTAGAGATCAGACTGATTTCTCTCAAGTGTTCAAACAACTGACCCTCAGTTTGGGCAGGAAAGTGATTTGCGTTGATCCTCCTCCCAGATCCAATATTCCCACTGTCTTCTTGCTTCGCGCTTTCAGGTGACCTAAAAAAAAGTCACACTTTAATCCAGAAACCACAACACAAAGGACCGAATCAGTTACACCTGCGATGTTATCTTCAAAAGGCCTATTTGGCAAACATGTACAAGCCAAAGTATAAAATCGCTGGATCCTATCTGATAAAGATCAGAGCACTCCTGTAGGCAGGAAATTCATAGTCGGACACATTTAGCCTCTATTTGTGAACATGAGGTGTGATAACGCGACGGCACCTTTAGATACAAAGTTAAACCTGGATATAAAGTACGAAAAAGAGGTACAAATATTTTACCGTTTAATGCAGTGTACTTGCCTGTTAGAAAGTTCAGCGATATCCAAGCCAGGAGTCCTACATTTACAAAATTAGCACAAAAGAAAAGCAAGAAAACAGAAACCTGTCATTTCAGGTGAAAACAAAGACCATTTAAGAAACTAATTTTGCATATATAAAAGGCATGTAGTCCTATAAACGAGGCTGAAACGCTGACTAATCAATTACACAACGGCACAACAGACAATAGTATTTTCGCACCGCATAATTACTGACTCATCTTTGTGGTAATATGCCATTTCGTTTTCTTAAGTGTCATCACAAAACACTGCTGTAATCTTCAGCAATTTAGGTTCATGCCTGCAGTAAACAACGATTCTTTACAGAAAATGCACAGCACGCTAAAAGCGGGCAGACAGATCACCGATGCCACCTGCAAAACACCTCAGAGAGGACAACAGCTGCCGTGATATCTGACGGATGTGTTGCTTGTCGGGGCAGAGGGTGGGCAGACGTTACCTTCGTTTTTGCCGTTCATTATGCTGACGCCGTCGTCTGACACCAAAAAAGGAGATTCGTCAAACACGTGTTGAACCTGAGGAAAAGAGGGAGAGACGGGCGAGAGAAAGGGAGATTTAAGTGCAACTAGGAGCAAAGGAAAGCAACAGTGAGATGGCCTTAATGTTATCTAGTGTAATGGTAGCTCATCCAGAGGTGCCCTCCGCTTGAAGGGATTAATTATTTCCCTTGGGGGGGATTAATAAAGTATCATTTATCATTCAAGGTGCCCCAGGGCTATCCGTTACCATCTTATCCCCTCCACAAGAGCCTTCCACACTAATCTCCTGCTCTCTGATAACAATACTTCCCCTCCTGTCTCTGTAATACCTGCCACAGCACTTTCCTTTTCTCCCTGCTGCTTTGTTGGATAATAGGTTGTGGGGTTTTGTTTTTTTTCACGATGGTGTCAGACATTGTAGCGCCAAACAACTCCCATATGATAAAGAACTGCACTCTACACAATGCTTGTATTGTGTAATTGCCATCTCAGGCCTCTCAATAAGGTCTCAGTACGAGACAGTGCACTCTTACCTGGTCCAGAAGAGCCTGAGCTTTCTGTGCGGGCAGCAGCCGAAGTCCAGCCGTGGCTCTGAGGACCAAAGGAGTTCTCTTCCACTCCACACGAGGCACCGTCCTCTTGGCTACCTTTAACAGCATCCTCACTGTTTGTCCAGCCTTTTAAACAGAAACAACAATCACCGCAGAGCAGCCGAAAAGTCTACTGAGTGACTGCTGAGAGCTGAGATGACACTTAGTGTTATGTCAGCTGGGCCTGACTTGTTTGTCATTTTGCATTTCTCACTTTCATTTCTGGCAGCAGGAATGTCTGAATGAGTGCACCCTCCAACTCAATGCAACTGATCAGAGGAAACGCTGAACTCACCGTTTCAGGGACGTCGACATATGCCGACAAGCCAGGCTTTATGGAATGAAACATCTCATTGTCCAACATGGGGAGCTGCTCTGAAAGACACAAGAGCCACCCACGTCACATATAGAACCTCTTAAATTAATTTAGGGAGGTATAAATCTGCTTAGTGTACATATAGCCATGTTTAAGATGAGACACTGACTTAAATCTGACCAAATAGGATTATTACTGAAATTACCTACGCACCTTGAAGTGAGCATTTATGGATTTAAAAGAACTGCAAGTATAGATATTCACTTCAGTTCACCTGAAGCGTGCTACTTAAGCTGCACAGCACTTCAGTTTTTTTGTACAGCACCAGAGGTCTCCCTGCTACTCTTTACATTGTGAGAAAAACCCTTAGAATATTTATGCTAGGCATTCTGCAGGCAGCCTGCATTCATTACATGTCACTGTTTCTGTATTAAGCACATAACGCCGCTAACCTAAAGAAATAAAGTAAATATAGGGAAGAGAACAGGCTTAAAGAGACACCTCTGGCCTGTATTACCTGAGTCGCTCTGGATGAAGGTGTAGACATGAATGCGTGTCCCCGTGCTCCCTGCATCAAACATCACCGCGTAGAAGATGCGGCTGTGGTTCGCCGGCCGACTGAGACTGGGAAGGATCCAGGAGAAATCCAGGAAAGAGTTCCCGAGTTGGGCTTGGCTCAGCCCTGGGACAGCGAGCAGGGCCAGGAGGAGAAGCGGCACGGCAGGCTTCATCTTCATTCTGGAGGATGAAAAACAAACAGAGCTTAAATTGTTTTGAAGTGCTCCAGAACTGCTCCTGGCTAGTACTGGGAGATGTTAAATTACAGCGTGACAAGCTACAGAGTGGTAGGAAGCAATTAAGTGATTTACACCTACTGTGTTTGACCACACCCCATCATACCTTTCAACCAACCCCAGAGATAATATATCTCAACTTCCTTACCTGCTTAGTCAACTCCAGCAGAACATTTAAGAAACATAAAAATTTCACCCTGTTGAACTTAAATTGGTTGACTTTGATCTTGATGTTCAATCGATACATGCCTGGCAACTGGAGCAAGTCTCAACATCTTTTTACAGAAGTGCACAATTATGAAACCTTAAAAACTCAAGTCAAGTGCTCCTATAAGAAACACTGCTGAGACAATGTCGCAATGATTGCAAAGAAATTTAACAGATATTTAACATCAGAAATGTTCTTCTTCTAAATGCAAATTTCACTTTTTAATTTCAGCGATTGTACATGTGCTATGATTTGGAGCAAGTTACCAAAATGAACACAGTAAAAAGAAATGCTCGTCTGTGAGTCTTTCAAAAAAACAGGGTGAGGCAATTTTTATTTGTAGTCTCAATATCTGCTCTGAACATGGGGGAAAAAAAAATCAGACCAATCTGCATAGATTAAACATCACAACCAGCGTGCTTGCAAATTTGGTGTAATCATTTGCAATCACAACTTGGTTTTTGATGTTACACTTCAATGGGAATAAAGGCTAAAAAATAATCCAAAACTCATTTTTGTTTTAAAGTCGGCCTGAAATTGTGATAAAAAATAAAACAGGAAAGACAAACATATAGAATGTTATATGCAATTTCAGATTGTAAGAGGAGCATACAAATGAATGTGTGTGTGTGTCTGTCTGTCTGTCTACAGGTATTTTCCCATATGATCGTATTTAAGAGTTACAGAGAATGATCCGAATAAGAGGAAATATCCAATGAATGGCAGTTCTCCGGACAAAAATGTCAGAGAATTGCCAAACTGCTTGGAGCTGATAGGAAGGCAACAGTCAACTCAAATGCCCACTCGTTACAACTCATCAAACCTTCAAGCAGATGGGCAACAGCAGGAGAAGACCACACCAGATGCCACTCCTGTCAGTCAAGAGCGGAAAACTGAAGCAACATCTCACACAGACTCACCAAGAATCAGACATGAGACAACCAAAGAATGGTGTGGGGGCACCTTTGCACCAAACCAGCATCATTTAAACACCACAGCCTACCTTAGTATTGTCACTGACCAAACCCACCCCTTTGTGACCACAGTGTACTCATCGGGTTTCTTGAACATGCCAAGACAGTGAGTTCCCTGTACTCAAACGGCTTTCACACTCAGACTTCAATTTAATAAAGCACATATAGGATGTGGTGGAACAGGAACCGCAACAGTGGGATGATGTCATGTCAATATGGACAAACATCTATTAGGAATGTTTCCAGCACCTTGATGAATCCACGCCATGAAGAATTAAGGCAGATCTAAAGACAAAAGGGAGTCCAATCCGGTACTAGTAAGTGAAGTGGCCGGTAAGTGTATATAGTCCATATTAATATTTACTGGCTTGCTACACACAGCACATCAGTGTTTCAAGAAATCAAATTCAATTTGGAAGGGTATCAATTAGGCTGGTTAAGCTAGCAAACAAAAGTAATAACGTGCATGTGTGATGGCCGCTAATGTTTTAAATAGCCTGCATTAACATTTACTGTTTTTCGTTTGAACATGTAGCGATAACGTTATCCCAACTTTCCAGTTTTCTTATCTTACTTGTTAACACTACCCTGCGTACGACTGATAACTGAAGTTAGGCTGAAAGTTAACAGCGCTGACTCTTATTTAACATCCCTGTTGTATTAGTTTTCGCCAGCTATCGGATAACTCGCATGACTGAAGTGTTGCAGAAAGCTAGCCAGTGAAGTTTGAGAACAAGCTAATGCCAAGCAGACGGCACTGCGGAATCATAAAATAATATTAAAACTTGAACAGGGAATTCTTTAAAAAAAACACATGACAGCTAATTACACCACAGAGAATTAGCAGCTGCCCTAATTATGCCTTACTAAACGCGAAAACACCACAGAGGCTCACCATGATGTCCGGCTAGCAGCACGCTGCTCACAGCTGACTCCCAGTGACGTCAGCGGCAGTGTTTTTGGTCTCGTGCTGAGCTCGCATAACACACTGGTGCCAAGAACAATAAACAGCTTGTTTGCTCAGTCCTGTGAATGGGAGGACGCCCGGTGCTTAATTTTGTGCTTGTGGAAGCATCCTCTCTAATGCTAACCTTTGACAGGGATTCAAAACAACAGGATCGCTTTGAGTGGCAAAATTACTGCAAGTTCAAAGTTGCAACTTGCTTTTCATCTTCGGAGCTCATTATTAGTATTATTATTATCATCATTATATGAATACATGAACAAAAACGGAATTATTTCAACAGAAATCACACCACAACTGAGTCCTGTTATAGTGGCTTTATTCAGTCAAGTAGCCACACTAACTGCAGCACAGTTTCATACTATAAATGCCATCGTAATGGTTAATAAAGAATATATTTGACATGAAATATATTTAACCCATGACCAATACTATGACAGTACAGTATAAAACTGTGAACTTTAATTTGACACGCACACTAATCTCCACATTGAACAGCATACAGCAGGGTACACTGATCATGTAAAAAAGCAAGTGCTGCAACCATTATGTCAGTTTCACTGAAGTGAGGAAATGTCTGTGTCCATGTTCTCATGTAGGCTTTTGCCTATTCACATATTGAACCGATGAAGCTAATGAAACACACAGGGGATAACAGTGGAAGACATTTGCTGTAACTACTCAGCGTCAGAATCGCTGATCTTTGTGCTTTCACGGCACTCAACGGATCATGAAAAAGGACTAGCCACTATGAAGTCATGATCCCACTGCTCTGTACAGGAAGTGAGGAGAAAAATGGGTTAAAAAAAAAAAACGCAATAAACCAATGTACAGATTCACAGCATCACTGATTAAGTCCATTTTTTATCTTCACTTCTAAAGATGTAAATTGTGACCGGTATTTGTTTTAACTTTGTAAATCCTGACATTCGTTTTCTTTGCTGCCCAGTCACTAAGTAATCATCCTCAGTATGAACATTTGACCAATCAAAAGATATCGTAACCACTTCCAATCCCTCGTTGGGCTTCTTAAGGCATGTAAGAAGTCTCTGAAGGTTAGATGCACTGTCAGTTTAGCTTAGCGTCCCATGGTTGGCATTGTGACAGCCGGGCTTGTCAGAGTGGCATCCTCAGCCTTCCACTGCGACGTAATAGTCTTGATCTGAGTGTAGAATTGGATGCCCTAGTGGTAAAGTGATAACAGATATGTCAGTGAGCTATCTAGCACATGACAAAGTGTCTGCATTGTGCTCTTTCAATACTTCAGTGGAGGGAACAGCAATGATCTGAGGGGATAATAAACTACTTCTGCTACATACCTGCTTGCCATAGAAGTTGGTATCTCCCCTGAATGAACCTCTGGAGCCAGTGAAGGAGAACATGGGGAGTGGGACGGGGATGGGCACATTCACACCAATCTATAAAAACGCATGTGTGGATTATGAAAACACAAATCTATTGCAGGCTAGAAATACAACAATGATCAAAGCATAATTTGTTTAATTTGGCCAGCTTACAAAGGGAGTAAGGCCTGGTGTTTAAAATCCAAGATCAACATACAGTTTCAATAAAAACAGACCCGTGAATATACATTTAAGGAGCCTATCAGCACCACTGGACCAGCATTCAATTATCAGCCAGTCCAAAAATGAACTACAACTTGGCTCCTGCTGCACTAATCCACACATTTGGGATTCGTCCATGTTTTAATGCATTGGCAGGTAATATATGACATAGTTTCAGCTGGCAGTGTAAAACCAGCTTCACTCCAATAAAAACATTCCCACTTCACATGTCTGCTTTACTTTTTCAGAAATAAAGCGCCTCCCACGCAAACCCGCTTACTCATCCAAGGCTCAAACAGGTGACTCACCGTGGCCTGAAATACCACAAAGGTGGCCGGTTAACACGCTTGTTTGAAACTATATCTTCAGCAAACAAAGAGCTTCATGTTTTAAAGTCTCCCACCTGGCCGACGTCCACCTCGTGTGTGTATTTGCGAGCTGTGGCTCCATTGGTGGTAAAGATGGCCGTGCCGTTACCGTAAGGGTTTCGGTTGATTAAAGAAATGGCTTCGTCCAGGCTGTCGGCCTCCAGGACAACAAGGACCGGTCCAAAGATCTCTTCTTTGTAACATTTCATGTTGGGCTGAAAAGAACAGCAGAGGGAAAACGATCAGGACTTCAAACTCTACAAAGGAATTCTTAACAGAACAAAGCACGAGCAGGTTTGTGTCGGGGAAGAAAGGTGAAAAACTGCTTTAAATGCATTTCACAGCACTTACAGCTACTTTCTATTTTAAGGTCAGCTTTGTGTGACACTCAACACTTATAACCAGAAACCAGAACGGATCGGGGGGGACTCTCATGCTGAGAGGGCTGCTTGTTGAAGATTCAAACTTTCAGGCTTACGAATAAAAGCATTTTTAAATCTACTTTTAAAGCCAAAAATCTGAATTTTCACTGAGGTCTGTTCTAAAGATGTGCTCAGCAGGAGGGGAAAATCAAAATCTGTGGTCACATTCAAGGAGATGAGGACTGGTTTTGTTTCATTTCCAACAACCCTAATCAAAGACACTGAACTGATTGAAGCGATCATTTATTTTTGCCTCACATAATTACAGCACCTACCAAAAACAAAAAAAAGTTATTACATTAAAACATTCTAGACAGTTTAGTTTAACATTACTATAATAGCATCTGACCCAAATTAAAAGTTCTCAGCTCACCATAACACCAGCTAAGATGGTAGGTCCTACAAAGTTTCCATTTTCATATCCTTTGACTTTAACATTTCTCCCGTCCAGCAGCAGCTTGGCACCTTCATCAACCCCACTCTGGATCAGAGACTCTACCCTGGCTTTGGCTTCTGGGGTGATCAAGGGACCCACATCTGCCCCAGGCTGATCACCTAAAACACACATTTTGACGTGTAAGAAAAACGGCAGTATGCATGCCAACTGACGTAATTAATTAATTAATTTATTTTTCATGGTGATACGGTTACACAACAAGTTACCTGAGTTTACGCGCAGCGATTTAGAGCGCTGCACCAGCTCTGGGAGCCATTCACGAGACTCCCCAACAAAAATAGCAGTGGAGAGAGCCATGCAGCGCTGGCCAGCTGCTCCAAAAGCAGCGCCCACTAGCTGGTTAATGGTGTTCTCTTTGTTGGCATCAGGCATCACCACACCATGGTTCTTGGCACCCTAAATGCAATATGTAGGACACAAAATCTGTATGATTTCACTCCAAAAGAGTGCAGAACATCAAACAGAGACATAAGAGCGCTAATCACATATGCTACAAATCCCAGTGACTGACAGCAGAGGATTTAATCACTGTCTTGGTAACAGCAACAGGAAATAGACCACTACCCATTTTCATTCATATTAGTAATAACAATTTTTAAAAATAGTCTAAAAAATAAATGAATAAATAAAACTAAGTTCCATCAGGATTTCCCAGACACAGACTTACTATAGATGAGATCTGGCAGGTATGTTTCCCAGCTCAAGACCAACATACCTGCAATCCACCCGACTATTTCTTTATTTTTGCAAATAATTGTTAATTTTTCTTCCCAGATAGCACAACAGACTTACTATTAGGTGCGCTTTTTGCTCTTATTTTGCTGCTCTTGTGTCAGTCAAGGACTTGATTCACAGGCGTCGCTCTACATACTCAAGCGCCACTCAAACCAGCACAAGAAGCTGGTTTGTATCTTGTTACACCAAAGTCACCCAGCTTCAGAGCAGGACAAGGACTACAGCTGCCAGCTGCTGTCCAAAGCAATTAAGAGTTGGACTTCAACCAAGGACAAAGACCTGACTGGAGAGGCAGCTGATTCTTGCCCCATTATTTACTGTCACCATGTGCCATCTAAACACTGCCAGTGTAAGAAGAGCATATTCGGTCTGTGAATACCATGTTGGACTGCACTCTCTTGCCATTCTTTGAGCCCCGCTCGTAGATGTACTCTCCAGCCTGGTTGGAGCCCACAAAACTGATGGCTTTGATGGCCGGGTGGTCACAGATGAAGTTTACCGCTGCACAAACAAGGAAAAAAGTCAATATTTTCTGTTCTTCTGTGTCACACCCTCAGGGCACAATATACGAGCACTGATACGGAGATTCAAATTCTCCTGCTTCAACAATGCCTGTAGATTACTTACAGATATAGGCTGCACAGTTTATGGAAATATCTTATCTACATATTGCCAGAAGGGTATATGATTAATGTTTGACTCATCCTTGGACCTTTCTCTATTGTTTATGACACACACAGACTGTGAGCTCCTCAATGAGCAGGGAATTACGCACTCACCTGCATGCTGTCCGTGGATTATGTTGAGTGTACCATCTGGTGCTCCGGCATCCTGGAGCATTTTGGCCAAAAGCATGGTGCAGCCTGGGACTCGCTCAGAGGGCTTCATCAGGTAGGTGTTGCCGCACACCAACCCGACAGGGAACATCCACAGAGGAATCATGGCGGGGAAGTTGAAAGGGGCGATGCCGGCACACACTCCGATGGGCAGGCGGTAGGTGTAGGTGTCCATGTCCTTGGTGATGGAGGGTAAGGTTTCCCCCAGCATGAGGGATGTAATGCTGCAGGCGTGTTCAACCACCTCTGAGGAATGAGCAAGAAAAGGATTTAGGAAGTCAGCCAATAACAAAGTGCCTAGATAAGCAATCTGAAATAACACATACACAGTTAACTGATGAGTCCATTATTGAAATTTACACATTTGCCTCTTAAGATTAAAAAAAGAAAAGCCTGCCAGCTCCATTTCCCATGAAAAAACTGTAATAAAACTTGTAAGTATTTCAAGCACCATTAGCCCCGGTACTTGCAGCACACCTGCACATGTAGCCTGTCTTTCAGCTGATAATAGAAAAGTTAGCCTGCCAGAATAATTTAGGCACCCTGAAACTGGGATCAACACCAAGAACAAAAAAAGGAAACAAAAAAAAAATTACTTGGCAGCTGCGTGTTGTAATAAACAAAAATTAATTCCTTCGTCTGCAACCGCACACAGCCCTTAATTTCCAAACATGATTCCTGTTGATGCAAGGCTGCCAGAATGAACGAGTGTACCTCAGCAAAGGAAGCTGCATAATTATCTTTAAATAGAGTGCAGCTAAAAGCATAGTGTGAAAAGTGTTTTACAGAAGACAGGAACACACTTTAACATCAGGAGTTAT